TTCAAGTTCAGTTCAATTTTGAACTGAACTTGAACTTGGCCAAAAGTTCAGTTCAGTTCAGTTTATAGGAACACTACTGCCAGCAACAAATAGATACGCCTATAATTCAATATTATTTATTAAAAAAATTTCAAAACTATAATTTTTTATTTTAAAAAATTATAGAAAAAGAATACTTTTAACCAGCACTATATTTTTAGCAAATTTACAATATACAAACTATAGAATTGTATAAAAAAAATAATTATAGTCAAACCCTTACAATTATACCTAATACTTTTTTTAAAAATATTTATAAATAGATGTAATTATATAAAGATATATATATATATATTATAAAAGTTTTAAAATAGGCATGCCTTTAAAAAAAATTTATATTACAGTTATTATAAAACGCATTTATGGTGTTTTTTCACCTATTATATGTTTTTATTATTTTTCTAAGGTTCGTATAAAGGGTTTTTGGGGTGTAGAACATTTTTACTTAGAACACCTCACACCGATTAATTTGCCAGTTTTGAGATAATATATTTATAGATGTAAAATGCCATAGGTTCGTTTTAGTGAAAGTCTTTATATTATATATTTATAGAAAGAATACTTATTATTATGGTTTTTTTTTTTATTAAATAAACTTTTATTCTAATAAAAATAATAAAAATATATAAATGTTTATTTAGGCTTTGCAACCATCGTTATAATTTTCTCTGCAATATTTATATTTTACACTTTATTGGATCAATTTCAGCATTTATCACTATTAAAATTAGACAAGCTATTTACATACCCTTTATTAGAAGTACATAACAGATTTACTTGAAAAAATTATTATAGTAAAAAACAACCGGATATTGCCAAAAAAAATCGGCGAGTCACAAATTAAATTTTATTCTAATAAGGCTTTAATATATAAAATGCCAACTCATTATATAAATTTTATATAAAAAAAAGTTATAAATAGCAATTTATTTAAAGTTAAAACTCTACAGATGAATGTATGATTTTTTCAGTACTTAGTAAGTTAAATCTTATATTTAATATATACCATTAATCAGACAAACATGTAGTACGTACTCTTGTTTCTTAATTCAATTAAAATATACATTTTGGACTTGATATATAAATCTACTTTAATTATGTCTCGCGCCACTATTTTATTTATAATTCTTGCCAATCTTATGACAACTGTTATTGCAACAACTATTGTAATTAACGTTGGGGAAGATAATAAAAATCAATTTGTTCCTAATACCGTCAATGCTACTAAAGACGATGTGGTAAATACTTTACCAAAAATATATTGAACGAATGAATAATTAATCATAATCACTGAACCGAAATTTAATATTCTAGATCGCATTTCATTTCGTTGGAGGACATCATGACGTTGTTCAATCGGACTCTTTTGGTAGTTGTAACAAAATAACGGATGGCTGTACGTATAATGAAGTTTTTAAGAATCTTTATTATTAATACAATTAAAAAGAATATTTGTATTTTCCTAGTCGACTCTGGACCAAATCCCGAATGGTATAACTATACTGTCGATTTGATTAAAGGCCAAATTTGGTTCTTTTGCAGTACTCTTACACATTGCAAAATTTATAACATGACAGGAACAATTTTTGTTGGAGGAAGTTCAAACAAAATTAATGACGCTGCAACACCTTTGGTTTATACTTGCTTTAATATTTTGATATCAAGTATCATTACGATTTTTTTCATGTTTTAATTAACTGAATTTGTAGCGGTAGCGATTATAAATTAATTAGCATTAGCATTAATGGATTTTTGTGAAACAATTAACGTAAAACATTTCTTTACTAACATATAATTCACGTGCTTAATTGATATATGCTACGTAGTCATATCGATATATCTCTATTCTATTAATTAATTGTTTATCAACATATGATATTTTTATTAATATAAACTTATTTCATTTAAAATACATTTAGAGAGTCATAGGCAATATATACATGCATCGTAAGCAGATCAGTATTGTGCGATTAGGATTGTATGATATAGAAATGTACAGTACGTACGAATTAAAAAAACCGTACTGGTACACTAATCTATAATTACAGTCAACTCATTAATATTGCGAGGGGTTGAGGGTTGACTGTTGCTCCGTATATTATTGATTCGGTCACCTATATTACGTAATCTAGAGATCAGTGTGGGGAACTACCCCAGGATCGCCAACAGATACGTGATCTCAAACAAATCAGATTTCAGGATCAGGTGTAACGTTACGCAATCAAGAAAATTCAAAACAAACGTTCGTTTTGTCAAACATCACCTATAACTCAAAATTCTGCATAGATAACCGCCTTCCGTGCATTAACAAAAAAATTTCCTTGGGCGATTTTACTATTAGAACCATCCTAAAACAGACCCTAACCCAAACCTAAATAAGCTTTAAAGATTTTTTTCGGTAATCACGTGACTGCAAAATTTTGTTGGCGATCCAGGGTAAGATAGTGTGGGGTGAATTGTCACCAGATCGATATCGATATAGTAGTTACGTCAACATTATGTAATTTACTAATTATCAACCATCGCTGTATATATATCATAGAAGTTTATAGAATAACGGTTTATTTTAAAACGTTAATGTGGTAATTTAAAGCCCGACTTATTTTCAGAGAAAACTAATCATAATTAGTCAAGGAATTTGCTAAATATGTCGTCACTGTTTCCATATATATGTATATAAATATTCTGCTGCTATTTTCATTTTTTTCTTTTCGAAAGAAATAAATACTGTTTTCTCTCTTCGAAAAAAAAATAAAATAAATAATGTCAATTTCGGACGACACACGAGTGATTTTCAAATCTACAGAAGGTGGTCGGGAAGAATTTTTTGTATATGCAAATCCTGATATGGTAAAACAAAGAAAAAAAAAAATCTTAATAAAAATCTTTTGTCAATAAATAAATAAATATAAGTGAACTTGTTTTTCTACATGTAGGTCCAGAAATGGCGTAAGGATAAAACAATTCCCTTGGTTGATGTCATTCAAAGTAATGTTATAGATAAATTATTATTCGAGTTCTATCTTAATTATTGATTATTAGGCTGTTGCATAATAATTGTAATTCGTATTTTTTTTTTTAGGTTTTGAAGTTTTCGAAGTCTACAATGGTGGTAGGGAAGGTATCGCTGGACGTCCATCAAATCAAAAACTTGAAAATGTATTTGGGACTACCAATGATATGGAAATTATACAACAAATTATTCAACATGGCACAATTCACAATACTCATAAAGCTCATGAGAGACCGACTTCAAAGGATCAGAAGGGTAAGTTTTTTTTCATAGCTTTGTTTTTTGTTTTTTTTTTTTGTTTTAATGATGGTTTTTGAGCTATTCTTTCTACTTTAACGTTAATAGCTATGATCAATGAATCGCGTGGAAGAGGTGCTAATAATACAGCGGGTATCCACCAATAATGTAGTTAATATTGGAACTGTCAATAACTAAATAGTTCAAGCAAATGTTCTTTATAAGTGATTTCATTATTATTCTGTAATGTAAATTTCATTGATTTAAAAGCAAAAATAAAAAATTCTAAAGTTCAAATTATTCCAGTTCAATCATTGAAAATATACATTATATAAAATTCATTCATATCAAAACTACATACTTTTTTTTTATCATTCATGCATATATATATATATACATATATATATCTATTTTTTTTTTAACAAAAAAAGATGAGTTATCTCAAACACTTCCATATAACCTTTTCTTTAACCGTGCCCAACGTAATCTGCACGCGTCTTCAGAGCGTTGCATCATAATATTCTTTGATATTTGAACCCATGAAGGGGTCATTGATTCTAGTACTGCATCGATAAGTAATTTATCTTCATCTGAAGTCCAAGGCGATATTTTTGTATCAGGATTATTTGAAGTTAATTTAGTACTAGGAACATGAAGTGAAATATTTAATGAAATATTTGAAGGAAAAAACGTTGGGGATGGAGAAGATGACGCGCAATATGAAACAGTTTTCTTTGTAGGAAATTCAGTGGAATTGACCTGATTATGTGGTAATTCTTGGGTTTTAATGGAAGAGGACTCTGAAATGGTTGAAATTCCTTTTTTTTCTGGCAAATTGCTTATCAAAAATTTCCTTAAATTTCGAATTTATTTTATTTACATATGTACGTAAAAAAATAATCACACCATATATAAACTAGAAAGTGACTATGAAAATACCTGTTCTGGATCAACTAGTATGCCCTCTTCCTCGTCTGTATCATATTCCATACTATCTGTCTCTAGTATATTTTTAACTACTTTACTTTCTTCAGACGGAATCATAATAAATTCATCATCTGCTTTATAATTAGTGCGAGTTTCATGTGATTTATATAATGAAAAATAATCGAATGTTTTCGATGGTAACTGTTCTTCGTCAGATATTTCAGAATCAATTATTTCGTGATCTTCGAAACCTTTGAATTTAATCATTATCGTTATTTTGAAAAAAATAATAATAATATAAATTTATTATGATAATTAAATTTTCATTTCACCTGTCGTACTGCTAGTTCTTGTTTGATTAGAATCAAAGGTCGTCATGCGTTGAATGATACCATTTCTTTTCGGCATCCAACCTTTTGTTCTTAGAGTATAATCTGTATTATTTGTCTCAGTTATTTCTTTTCTTCTAGTCATAGTTATCTTATCATCATAATAATATTCATTATCACCAAGATCCATTTGGCATTCATCAATAGATTTCACACGATTAAGAACACCATATCTTCTGTTCAACACGAGGTATTGATCATTGTGGTCAACAGATATGGGATGTGTGTGTAAAAGCGTGGGCATAACAGATTTTTTGTTCATTGTTGCGACTATATCTGTTGATACATTTCGATTAGCTAGTTCTACTTCTTCCGTTTTCATATTATCAGAAACAATATTTTTATTAACACTTATAGTATTTAAAAGCGAATCTTTAAGAGTCATCGTTTCTTCATGGACGTGTTGAATAAAACATCTACTATTATTTTAAAAGATCTCAGTGAATTAAATATATGATCGTTTTATAAGAGTAAATTTATCAGACTATTTCATTCAAACAGTCTCTTAAAAGATACAATTTTTTTGTTTCGTAATTTTTAAGTAATATATCACACTTTATGACGTCTTATAGTTTGATACATAAAAAAAATTTCATTTCACCACATTATGATGAATAATAAATGAATAATAACAACCTACACAGAAATCATTGATGAGAATATTAACCTTTTAAATCTTATGCGTAGTTTTGAGTGGCTTAAATTTCTAATATAATTAACTTTTTAAATCTACTAAATAATATGTCACTTATCCATAACTATATACAAAGTCTTGAAATAAAATTCTCGAAAAAACCGGATGTTCTTTTATACATTGTTTATGTCTAATTATATTGATTATATTATTGTATTATGTGATGATTTAGTTATCACCATATGAAATTGTTCGTCTACCCATCTAATTACCTGGCCTTGAATGTGTTTTCCGGTGCCTAGTAACTTGATCAGATCGTGAAAATTTTTTTTTGCATGTTACCACAGGGCATTGGAATGGACGCTCACCAGTGTGCACTCGCATCTAATCACAGGATTAATTTAATTATAGGATTAATAACGTAATAATGATATTAATAATACAGTCGCTTCCGCAATAGTCACATGGTCAAGTCTGAAATTTTGTCCTTATTGCAAAATTTAATAAAGATAACCAACAACGGGCGAAATTATATATATAAATCTCCGATCACTATTTCAAGATCATGGGGAATTAATGAATAATATCCTGACCCGTATGTGAATAAGCGGAATCAATCATTATAAAGCGGATCGAAAAATCGCTAAACAATAAATACAATTTCATGGTTCAGAGATAATGAAGTTTCCACTAATTCCCAACGGATCAAGATATTATTATTACTTATAAAGTAGAAAATTGATGTGACTATATACAGTTGCGGGTTTAATCTATAACGGAAGTACGACCATAATAATAATAACGATAATAATAAAGTTCATTACATGTTTTGTAAGATTTGATGATTCAGCAAACCGTTTCACACAGCCTTCCTGTTTGCACTTAAATGGTTTTTCACCTGCAATTAAAAAGAAATAAATAAATAAAATGTATCTTATGATGATAATATGTATTGTCACAAAAACAGTGCATTAATTACAAACCAGTATGAACTCGAAGGTGTATGGTTAGTGCACCAGATATAGAAAACTCACGACCACAATTTGGTTGTGGACATTTAAAGGGACGCTCTCCTGTATGTGTTCTCATATGTTGAGTCATTATATTAGCTTCCGAGAATCGTTTTTTACAGATTGTACACTGGTACGGCTTATCACCTATATATACATATATACACATATATATATATATATAAAGTAACTATGAGATTCTAGAACTTTGATTATATCATAAAATATCATACAGTGTTTACCAGTATGCGTTTGAATATGTCGCATAACCTTT